TACAAGAAATTATTAAATGTGCGAGTCGGGTCTTAAAAGGTACTTAAAAAGACATTCTATCTATCTATCTATCTATCTATCTATCTATCTATCTATCTATCTATCTATCTATCTATCTATCTATCTATCTATCTATCTATCTATCTATCTATCTATCTATCTATCTATCTATCTATCTATCTATCTATCTATCTATCTATCTATCTATCTATCTATCTATCTATCTATCTATCTATCTATCTATCTATCTATCTATCTATCTATCTATCTATCTATCTATTATCTATCTATCTATCTATCTATCTATCTATCTATCTATCTATCTATCTATCTATCTATCTATCTATCTATCTATCTATCTATCTATCTATCTATCTATCTATCTATCTATCTATCTATCTATCTATCTATCTATCTATCTATCTATCTATCTATCTATCTATCTATCTATCTATCTATCTATCTATCTATCTATTATCTATCTATCTATTATCTATCTATCTATCTATCTATCTATCTATCTATCTATCTATCTATCTATCTATCTATCTATCTATCTATCTATCTATCTATCTATCTATCTATCTATCTATCTATCTATCTATCTATCTATCTATCTATCTATCTATCTATCTATCTATCTATCTATCTATCTATCTATCTATCTATCTATCTATCTATCTATCTATCTATCTATCTATCTATCTATCTATCTATCTATCTATCAATCTATCTATCTATCTATCTATCTATCTATCTATCTATCTATCTATCTATCTATCTATCTATCTATCTATCTATCTATCTATCTATCTATCTATCTATCGATCTATCTACTATCTATCTATCTACCTATCTATCTATCTATCTATCTATCTATCTATCTATCTATCTATCTATCTATCTATCTATCTATCTATCTATCTATCTATCTATCTATCTATCTATCTATCTATCTATCTATCTATCTATCTATCTATCTATCTATCTATCTATCTATCTATCTATCTATCTATCTATCTATCTATCTATCTATCTATCTATCTATCTATCTATCTATCTATCTATCTATCTATCTATCTATCTATCTATCTATCTATCTATCTATCTATCTATCTATCTATCTATCTATCTATCTATCTATCTATCTATCTATCTATCTATCTATCTATCTATCTATCTATCTATATATCTATCTATCTATCTATCTTCTATCTATCTATCTATCTATCTATCTATCTATCTATCTATCTATCTATCTATCTATCTATCTATCTATCTATCTATCTATCTATCTATCTATCTATCTATCTATCTATCTATCTATCTATCTATCTATCTATCTATCTATCTATCTATCTATCTATCTATCTATCTATCTATCTATCTATCTATCTATCTATCTATCTATCTATCTATCTATCTATCTATCTATCTATCTATCTACTATCTATCTATCTATCTATCTATCTATCTATCTATCTATCTATCTATCTATCTATCTATCTATCTATCTATCTATCTATCTATCTATCTATCTATCTATCTATCTATCTATCTATCTTCTATCTATCTATCTATCTATCTATCTATCTATCTATCTATCTATCTATCTATCTATCTATCTATCTATCTATCTATCTATTCTATCTATCTATCTATCTATCTATCTATCTATCTATCTATCTATCTATCTATCTATCTATCTATCTATCTATCTATCTATCTATCTATCTATCTATCTATCTATCTATCTATCTATCTATCTATCTATCTATCTATCTATCTATCTATCTATCTATCTATCTATCTATCTATCTATCTATCTATCTATCTATCTATCTATCTATCTATCATCTATCTATCTATCTATCTATCTATCTATCTATCTATCTATCTATCTATCTATCTATCTATCTATATCTATCTATCTATCTATCTATCTATCTATCTATCTATCTATCTATATATATCTATCTATCTATCTATCTATCTATCTATCTATCTATCTATCTATCTATCTCTATCTATCTATCTATCTATCTATCTATCTATCTATCTATCTATCTATCTATCTATCTATCTATCTATCTATCTATCTATCTATCTATCTATCTATCTATCTATCTATCTATCTATCTATCTATCTATCTATCTATCTATCTATCTATATCTATCTATCTATCTATCTATCTATCTATCTATCTATCTATCTATCTATCTATCTATCTATCTATCTATCATCTATCTATCTATCTATCTATCTATCTATCTATCTATCTATCTATCTATCTATCTATCTATCTATCTATCTATCTATCTATCTATCTATCTATCTATCTATCTATCTATCTGTTAAACGACTTTTCATACCATACCCCTCTCCATAACATGTTAATTTATATGGGAATGTGTTTATAAATGTGTGAAAAAAACGCAATAAGGAAATGGAAAGATAAATAGAGAGCATCCTATTTTGTTTTGCTTTAAATTTAAACTTCTTGTGTCTTTTTTCAATTTCCCCAAACTGAACCTTTGTCTATATGTAGGAATCTGTGTGCAAACCGCATTGTTGTAACTTCAGCACGCTCAAAAAAATGGAGGAGGTGCAAAATGGTGCTTGTGGTAAATGGAAACAGATATTCCTCTTGCTATTGTAAACAACAACAAATAAACATGTAATAAATAGAAAAATTTAGCATTATAAAGTGATTTGTTGTGTAAATGGTTGTTAGTGATTGTAACAAGGTTCTTTTGGTTATTTTTGACAGGGAGTGTCGTTGTTTTTGTTGCTAAAGAACTGTGGGAATTCTAAAGATGTTTTTGAGTTTTGTTTTTGAAATAATAAGGACACTAAATGTGGTGTCTTTTTTATTATTCATTAATAATGTGTTAGTTAGAGTGGTAATTGAAATTGTTTTAGCAATTTATGTTTGAATAATTTGTTGGTATATTGTCATAATTTCTTAAACAGATTTTAAAGGAATTTTAAAGAAATTAGATGGATGTTTTGGTTATAAAAACAAGATCATAAACATTTTAGTTCGAAAACTACTGTGGACTCTAGTTCAGTTTTAGTTCAGTTCTAGTTCGGTTCTAGTTCAGTTCTAGTTCTAGTTCAGTTCTAGTTCAGTTCTAGTTCAGTTCTAGTTCAGTTCTAGTTCAGTTCTAGTTCAGTTCTAGTTCAGTTCTAGTTCAGTTCTAGTTCAGTTCTAGTTCAGTTCTAGTTCAGTTCTAGTTCAGTTCTACTTCAGTTCTAGTTCAGTTAGTAGTTCTTAGTTCAGTTCTAGTTCAGTTCTAGTTCAGTTTCTAGTTCAGTTCTAGTTCAGTTCTAGTTCAGTTCTAGTTCAGTTCTAGTTCAGTTCTAGTTCAGTTTCTAGTTCATTCTAGTTCAGTTCTAGTTCAGTTCTAGTTCAGTTCTAGTTAGTTCTAGTTCAGTTCTAGTTCAGTTCTAGTTCAGTTCTAGTTCAGTTCTAGTTCAGTTCTAGTTACAGTTCTAGTTCAGTCCTAGTTCGTCTAGTTAAGTTCTATTTCAGTTCTAGTTCAGTTCTAGTTTCAGTTCTAGTTCAGTTCTAGTTCAGTTCTAGTTCAGTTCTAGTTCGTTCTAGTTCAGTTCTAGTTCAGTTCTAGTTCAGTTCTAGTTCAGTCTAGTTCAGTTCTAGTTCAGTTTCTAGTTCAGTTCTAGTTCAGTTCTATTTCAGTTCTAGTTCAGTTCTAGTTCAGTTCTAGTTCAGTTCTAGTTCATTCTAGTTCAGTTCTAGTTCAGTTCTAGTTCAGTTCTAGTTCAGTTCTAGTTTCAGTTCTAGTTCAGTTCTATTCAGTTCAGTTCTAGTTCAGTTCTAGTTCAGTTCTAGTTCAGTTCTAGTTCAGTTCTAGTTCAGTTCTAGTTCAGTTCTAGTTCAGTTCTATTTCAGTTCTATTTCAGTTCTAGTTCACTTCGAGTTCAAGTTAGGTTCTAGTTCAATGTAGTTTTGAGTTTCTACTGGGGCGTATGATAAATTTTTGTCAGATTCAATAATATTCATACGTCTTGAAGTTAATGTTCACAAACTTTTTAAATCTTATTCAAATAATTAAAGTTCTTTATAAATTAAATTGAACAATTTAATATTTAAATTGAATTCTATAAAGATATTTATGAAATCTCTATAAAACTATTTTCTAAGTCCTTCCTGCATTACACCACAACCATTTAATGTTTGAAAAACAAATAAATTATTAATTAAAGCAAAATGTAAATTACTTTGTTAATGATAAAGACACTTGTGTTTTTCATAATTTATGCATAAAATATCTCATTTAAAAGTTTGATTTAATTTACATCAAATTAATCACACAAAATCAACAATAATAAACAGAGAAAAGAGTAAAACACCTACAAATACACAATAAAAACAGAGACAAACACTTTAAAGCACACACATACAAACTGAGTCTTTGTTCAAATATTAATCTCTTAAATCGGCAACAAAAGTGTATGAGTGCGACACAAACTGCATTATTGCCAATTAAGTGTAAAATGTTTAAAAGAGACTATTTGTGTTTGACAAGGATTATAAATTGTTTTTATGTGTATGTAAGTGTTTGAGTCTGTAGGTATTTATAAATGTGTGTATGTCCGTCTGTGTAATGTGTTATTTTAATTTAATTTTACACTAATATTATAGTTTTTATTATAGAATTTATTAAAAACATTTTTTTGTTCTGTTTAATTACAGATTTAATTAATTTTAATTGTATTATAATTTTTCTATTATTTAACTCCTAATTTTATGTGTTTTTTTTATTTTTCAATTGAATTAAATTTACTAAAAAAAATATGTAGCAATAAATTTGTTTATATTAATACATAATTAAATTTTGTTAAACATTTACTTTTTGGTTTTAAATTGTTTATATGTATGTTCATTGTTGTTAGGCTTTTTTATATAAATTTTTAATTATATTTGTATTTATGATTATTTTTTCTAATTTGTATTTGTGTTTTTCTTAATTTGCAGGCACACCGTATTGGATGGCTCCCGAAGTAGCTGCTGTTGAACGAAAGGGTGGTTATAATCAATTATGTGATATTTGGGCTTGTGGTATAACAGCAATTGGTAAGTTTTAATAAGGAGCCCATAGTATAGACTTTAGTTCTAGTTAAGTTCTAGTTCAGTTCTAGATCAGTTCTAGTTCAGTTCTAGTTCAGTTCTAGCTCAGTTCTAGTTCAGTTCTAGTTCAGTTGTAGTTCAGTTCTAGTTCAGTTCTAGTTCAGTTCTAGTTCAGTTCTAGTTCAGTTATAGTTCAGTTATAGTTCAGTTATAGTTCAGTTATAGTTCAGTTATAGTTCAGTTATAGTTCAGTTCTAGTTCAGTTCTAGTTCAGTTCTAGTTCAGTTCCAGTTCAGTTCCAGTTCAGTTCTAGTTCAGTTCTAGTTCAGTTCTAGTTCAGTTCTAGTTCAGTTCTAGTTCAGTTCTAGTTCAGTTCTAGTTCAGTTCTAGTTCAGTTCTAGTTCAGTTCTAGTTCAGTTCTAGTTCAGTTCTAGTTCAGTTCTAGTTCAGTTCTAGTTCAGTTCTAGTTCAGTTCTAGTTCAGTTCTAGTTCAGTTCTAGTTTAGTTCTCGTTCAGTTTTGGTTCCGTTCAATTTTGTTCTATTTCAATTCCCTCGACTATAGACTAAACTATGGACTAGACTAGACTAGACTATAGACTAGACTATAGACTAGACTATAGACTAGACTATAGACTAGACTATAGACTAGACTATAGACTAGACTATAGACTAGACTATAGACTAGACTATAGACTAGACTATAGACTAGACTAGACTAGACTAGACTATAGACTAGACTATAGACTAGACTAGACTAGATAGACTAGACTATAGACTGACTATAGACTAGACTATAGACTAGACTATAGACTAGACAATAGACTAGACTATAGACTAGACTATAGACTAGACTATATACTAGATTATAGACTATACTATAAACTACACTATAGACTAGACTATAGACTAGACTATAGACTAAACTATAGACCAGACTATAGACTAGACTATAAACTAGACTATAGACTAGACTATAGACTAGACTATAGACTAGACTATAGACTAGACTATAGACTAGACTATAGACTAGACTATAGACGAGACTGTAGACTAGACTATAGACGAGACTATAGACTAGACTATAGACTAGACTATAGACGAGACTATAGACTAGACTATAGACTAGACTATAGACGAGACTATAGACTAGACTATAGACTAGACTATAGACTATACTATAGACTAGACTATAGACTAGACTATAGACTAGACTATAGACTAGACTAGAACTAGACTATAGACTTAGACTATAGACTAGACTATAGACTAGACTATAGACTAGACTATAGACTAGACTATAGACTAGACTATAGACTAGACTATAGACTAGAACTATAGACTAGACTATAGAACTATAGACTAGACTATAGACTAGACTATAGACTAGACTATAGACTAGACTATAGACTAGACTATAGACTAGACTATAGACTAGACTATAGACTAGACTATAGACTAGACTATAGACTAGACTATAGACTAGACTATAGACTAGACTATAGACTAGACTATAGACTAGACTATAGACTAGACTATAGACTAGACTATAGACTAGACTATAGACTAGACTATAGACTAGACTATAGACTAGACTATAGACGAGACTATAGACTAGACTATAGACTAGACTATAGACTAGACTATAGACTAGACTATAGACTAGACTATAGACTAGACTATAGACTAGACTATAGACGAGACTATAGACTAGACTATAGACTAGACTATAGACTAGACTATAGACTAGACTATAGACTAGACTATAGACTAGACTATAGACTAGACTATAGACTAGACTATAGACTAGACTATAGACTAGACTATAGACTAGACTATAGACAAGACTATAGACTAGACTATAGACTAGACTATAGACTAGACTATAGACTAGACTATCGACTAGACTATAGACTAGACTATAGACTAGACAATAGACTAGACTAGACTATAGACTAGACTAGACTATAGACTAGACTAGACTATAGACTAGACTATAGACTAGATTATAGACTAGACTATAGACTAGACTATAGACTAGACTATAGACTAGACTATAGACTAGACTATAGACTAGACTATAGACTAGACTGTAGACTAGACTATAGACTAGACTATAGACTAGACTATAGACTAGACTATAGACTAGACTATAGACTAGACTATAGACTAGACTATGGACTAGACTATAGACTAGACTATAGACTAGACTATAGACTAGACTATAGACTAGACTATAACTAGACTATAGACTAGACTATAGACTAGACTATAGACTAGACTATAGACTAGACTATAGACTAGACTATAGACTAGACTATAGACTAGACTATAGACTAGACTATAGACTAGACTATGGACTAGACTATAGACTAGACTATAGACTAGACTATAGACTAGACTATAGACTAGACTATAGACTAGACTATAGACTAGACTATAGACTAGACTATAGACTAGACTATAGACTAGACTATAGACTAGACTATAGACTAGACTATAGACTAGACTATAGACTAGACTATAGACTAGACTATAGACTAGACTATAGACTAGACTATAGACTAGACTATAGACTAGACCATAGACTAGACTATAGAGTAGACTATTGACTAGACTATAGACTAGACTATAGACTAGACTATAGACTAGACTATAGACTAGACTATAGACTAGACTATAGACTAGACTATAGACTAGAGTATAGACTAGACTATAGGCTAGACTATAGACTAGACTAGACTATAGACTAGACTATAGACTAGACTATAGACTAGACTATAGACTAGACTATAGACTAGACTATACTAGACTAGACTACTATAGACTAGACTATAGACTAGACTATAGACTAGACTATAGACTAGACTATAGACTAGACTATAGACTAGCTTAGACTACTATAGACTAGACTATAGACTAGACTAGACTATAGACTAGACCATAGACTAGACTATAGACTAGACTATAGACTAGACTATTGACTAGACTATTGACTAGACTATAGACTAGACTATAGACTAGACTATAGACTAGACTATAGACTAGACTATAGACTAGACTATAGACTAGACTATAGACTAGACTATAGACTAGACTATAGACTAGACTATAGACTAGACTATAGACAAGACTATAGACTAGACGACTATAGACAAGACTATAGACTAGGCTGCAGACTCAACTATACTAAACTATAAAGTAGGCTTTAGATTATAGAGTCAACTAATGACTAGGTTATCAACTATACTATGGACCAGACTATAGACTAAACTATAGAAAATACTACAGACTATATTATATAAGTTATAGTGTGGGCTATACCGTAGACTATACTGTAAATGAGGCTGGAGAGACATTTTATCTCTCTGCCAATGCAAATGTCTTCGAAGAGATGTTATAAATAGGAAATAACTGTAATCGGAAATTTCATTCACATGACGTGTAATAGTAAGACTTCATTAAATTTAATAGTTTCCTGACTTTGTATAAAAAGAAGAACTTGCCTCGAATACAAAATGACTCAACAATTTTATGACTTAATATTTTCCGTTTTGCTGGCACTTACTTAAGACAACAACTACCTTCCTATAACACTAGCTATAACGTATTACTAACACTTCTCGGCTACTACTACTTCCTTAGTGCCAAAATATTTCCAGACTATTTTATTGCTCATACATTAATAATCCCTATTATTTATGACAAAACTGTTTTCCACATAAAAATAACATTTTTGAAATTTTTATGAGTTTTTCCTTTTAATGTCACCACATACCAAAGAGAGAGACAATAATAAGTAATAAAAATAATAAATTATATGAAATTTATATTAAAAACTTCGAAACAAAACGAGTTTTTCAATTATTTTGTTTTATGATCCTTAAGTACAATTTATTGTGCTAGTAACATAAACATATTGATTTTTAAAAACTAAACATTAGTTTTAAAGAAAGGTTAAGACATTTCAGCAATTAATTTTATTTTTGTGAAAACTTTAAACACACATGTGTCCTTTTGGTTAATTTAATTTAATTTCCTTCGTTTTATAGAATTGGCTGAACTACAACCTCCTATGTTTGATTTACATCCCATGCGTGCTTTGTTCCTGATGTCAAAAAGTGGTTTCAAACCTCCAACTCTTAGTAATAAAGATAAATGGAGTCCTACATTTCATAATTTTGTAAAAACAGCTTTAACGAAAAATCCTAAAAAACGTCCCACAGCCGAAAGGCTGCTGCAGCATCCTTTCGTACAGGGTGAGATGTCGGTGCGTGTGGCCAAAGAATTGCTTAAGAAATACATGAATCCCAATCAACAATTCTATTATAATTGGGATGGTGATGAGGAGGTAAGTTGTGTGTGTGTAACTTTATTCTTAAATTAAATTTAATTTAAAGGTAATAAATTTTAAAACAAAATGGTTCGTTAAGGTTTTGAAGGCATTATATGTAATGATTAGTTGAATTACGGAGCGTATGACGAATATTTATTTGGTAATATTTAATAAATAATACTCATACGTCTCAAAATTTTTTTGTAGAAATAAACTTTTGACCGAAAATTTTAGAGTTCAGTTCTAGTTCAGTTCTAGTTCAGTTCTAGTTCAGTTCTAGTTCAGTTCTAGTTCAGTTCTAGTTCAGTTCTAGTTCAGTTCTAGTTCAGTTCTAGTTCAGTTCTAGTTCAGTTCTAATTCAGTTCTAGTTCAGTTCTAGTTCAGTTCTAGTTCAGTTCTAGTTCAGTTCTAGTTCAGTTCTAGTTCAGTTCTAGTTCAGTTCTAGTTCAGTTCTAATTCAGTTCTAGTTCAGTTCTAGTTCAGTTCTAGTTCAGTTCTAGTTCAGTTCTAGGTTAGTTCTAATTCAGTTCTAGTTCAGTTCTAGTTCAGTTCTAGTTCAGTTCTAGTTCAGTTCTAGTTCAGTTCTAGTTCAGTTCTAGTTCAGTTCTAGTTCAGTTCTAGTTCAGTTCTAGTTCAGTTCTAGTTCAGTTCTAGTTCAGTTCTAGTTCAGTTCTAGTTCAGTTCTAGTTCAGTTCTAGTTCAGTTCTAGTTCAGTTCTAGTTCAGTTCTAGTTCAGTTCTAGTTCAGTTCTAGTTCAGTTCTAGTTCAGTTCTAGTTCAGTTCTAGTTCAGTTCTAGTTCAGTTCTAGTTCAGTTCTAGTTCAGTTCTAGTTCAGTTCTAGTTCAATTCTAGTTCAGTTCTAGTTCAGTTCTAGTTCAGTTCTAGTTCAGTTCTAGTTCAGTTCTAGTTCAGTTCTAGTTCAGTTCTAGTTCAGTTCTAGTTTAGTTCTAGTTTAGTTCTACTTTAGTTCTAGTTTAGTTCTAGTTCAGTTCTAGTTCAGTTCTAGTTCAGTTCTAGTTCAGTTCTAGTTCAGTTCTAGTTCAGTTCTAGTTCAGTTCTAGTTCAGTTCTAGTTCAGTTCTAGTTCAGTTCTACTTCAGTTCTAGTTCAGTTCTAGTTCAGTTCTAGTTCAATTCTAGTTCAGTTCTAGTTCAGTTCTAGTTCAGTTCTAGTTCAGTTCTAGTTCAGTTCTAGTTCAGTTCTAGTTCAGTTCTAGTTTAGTTCTAGTTTAGTTCTACTTTAGTTCTAGTTTAGTTCTAGTTTATTTCTAGTTTAGTTCTAGTTCAGTTCAGTTCTAGTTCAGTTCTAGTTCAGTTCTAGTTTAGTTCTAGTTTAGTTCTACTTTAGTTCTAGTTTAGTTCTAGTTCAGTTCTAGTTCAGTTCTAGTTCAGTTCTAGTTCAGTTCTAGTTCAGTTCTAGTTCAGTTCTAGTTCAGTTCTAGTTCAGTTATAATCCAGTTCTAGTTCAGTTCAGTATAAAAAAAGTACAATTTTGATCCAAATATTTAAACTTTTTCTCATCCTTATCTGTCAACAGATCATCACAATTTTCTCTTCATAGTATTTCAATTAATAAAAGTATTTTCAGCATTTTGAATATATTTTCTCTTACATCTACATATAGTTAATTGTTTACCATTTATTATTATGTTCAAGTTACTGTCTAACAATTTAACTAATTAAAATATTTCCTAATTAATTGTTACATTTTTATCTTCCCCTCTTTAATAAATCCTCAATTTTTGTACCTGTTAAATGTTGCATCAAACACACACGTACACAAACACAACGGAACATTCGAATGGATTTTTCATGTCTTGATCCCTTCGTGTCTGTTCTATTTGTTTTAAATCCTGGCAACAAAATGTGTTACAAAAAAAAAAAACTAAAATTGATGTTCGTTTAGACGGTTGCCAGTGTACCACAACGTATTGCCAGTAAAATGACATCAAGGCCAAATGGTATTTCACCACAAAATCATACTTTAAAAACAGGTAAGTGTATGTTTAAAAGTTGAAATGTATGAATGAATGTATATGTGTAAATGGATAGATTGGTTGGGTTTTAATTGTGATGTGAGAAGAGTGTTTCTGAAGGGGATTAGTTTTTAAATTTTAAGCTAATCGGAGATTTTAGTTTACGAAATCTTTTTATTTCTTTCAATGATCTAAAAATCGATATTTACGGAGAAAAATATATAGAAATGTTAGTTGAAATTCAGCGCGTATGATTAATATTTATTTGGTAATAGTTAATAAACAATACTCATACGACCCAAAACTTTTTGACCGAAAAAATTATATAATATGAAAATATTCTGTAAAATCAAGTTCAGTTCTAGTTCAGTTTTAGTTCAGTTCTAGTTCGGTTCTGGTTGGGTTCTAGTTCGGTTCTAGTTCTAGTTCAGTTCTAGTTCAGTTCTAGTTCAGTTCTAGTTCAGTTCTAGTTCAGTTCTAGTTCAGTTCTAGTTCAGTTCTAGTTCAGTTCTAGTTCAGTTCTAGTTCAGTTCTAGTTCAGTTCTAGTTCAGTTCTAGTCAGTTCTAGTTCAGTTCTAGTTCAGTTCTAGTTCAGTTCTAGTTCAGTTCTAGTTCAGTTCTAGTTCAGTTCTAGTTCAGTTCTAGTTCAGTTCTAGTTCAGTTCTAGTTCAGTTCTAGTTCAGTTCTAGTTCAGTTCTAGTTCAGTTCTAGTTCAGTTCTAGTTCAGTTCTAGTTCAGTTCTAGTTCAGTTCTAGTTCAGTTCTAGTTCAGTTCTAGTTCAGTTCTAGTTCAGTTCTAGTTCAGTTCTAGTTCAGTTCTAGTTCAGTTCTAGTTCAGTTCTAGTTCAGTTCTAGTTCAGTTCTAGTTCAGTTCTAGTTCAGTTCTAGTTCAGTTCTAGTTCTAGTTCAGTTCTAGTTCAGTTCTAGTTCAGTTCTAGTTCAGTTCTAGTTCAGTTCTAGTTCAGTTCTAGTTCAGTTCTAGTTCAGTTCTAGTTCAGTTCTAGTTCAGTTCTAGTTCAGTTCTAGTTCAGTTCTAGTTCAGTTCTAGTTCAGTTCTAGTTCAGTTCTAGTTCAGTTCTAGTTCAGTTCTAGTTCAGTTCTAGTTCAGTTCTAGTTCTGTTCTAGTTCTGTTCTAGTTCTGATCTAGTTCTGTTCTAGTTCTGTTACAGTTCTGTTCTAGTTCTGTTCTAGTTCTGCTCTAGTTCTGTTCTAGTTCTGTTCTAGTTCTGTTCTAGTTCTGTTCTAGTTCTGTTCTAGTTCTGTTCTAGTTCTGTTCTAGTTCTGTTCTAGTTCTGTGCTAGTTCTGTTCTAGTTCTGTTCTAGTTCTGTTCTAGTTCTGTTCTAGTTCTGTTCTAGTTCTGTTCTAGTTCTGTTCTAGTTCTGTTCTAGTTCTGTTCTAGTTCTGTTCTAGTTCTGTTCTAGTTCTGTTCTAGTTCTGTTCTAGTTCTGTTCTAGTTCTGTTCTAGTTCTGTTCTAGTTCTGTTCTAGTTCTGTTCTAGTTCTGTTCTAGTTCTGTTCTAGTTCTGTTCTAGTTCTGTTCTAGTTCTGTTTCTAGTTCTGTTCTAGTTCTGTTCTAGTTCTGTTCTAGTTCTGTTCTAGTTCTGTTCTAGTTCTGTTCTAGTTCTGTTCTAGTTCTGTTCTAGTTCTGTTCTAGTTCTGTTCTAGTTCTGTTCTAGTTCTGTTCTAGTTCTGTTCTAGTTCTGTTCTAGTTCTGTTCTAGTTCTGTTCTAGTTCTGTTCTAGTTCTGTTCTAGTTCTGTTCTAGTTCTGTTCTAGTTCTGTTCTAGTTCTGTTCTAGTTCTGTTCTAGTTCTGTTCTAGTTCTGTTCTAGTTCTGTTCTAGTTCTGTTCTAGTTCTGTTCTAGTTCTGTTCTAGTTCTGTTCTAGTTCTGTTCTAGTTCTGTTCTAGTTCTGTTCTAGTTCTGTTCTAGTTCTGTTCTAGTTCTGTTCTAGTTCTGTTCTAGTTCTGTTCTAGTTCTGTTCTGTTCTGTTCTAGTTCTGTTCTAGTTCTGTTCTAGTTCTGTTCTAGTTCTGTTCTAGTTCTGTTCTAGTTCTGTTCTAGTTCTGTTCTAGTTCTGTTCTAGTTCTGTTCTAGTTCTGTTCTAGTTCTGTTCTAGTTCTGTTCTAGTTCTGTTCTAGTTCTGTTCTAGTTCTGTTCTAGTTCAGTTCTAGTTCAGTTCTAGTTCAGTTCTAGTTCAGTTCTAGTTCAGTTCTAGTTCAGTTCTAGTTCAGTTCTAGTTCAGTTCTAGTTCAGTTCTAGTTCAGTTCTAGTTCTGTTCTAGTTCTGTTCTAGTTCTGATCTAGTTCTGTTCTAGTTCTGTTACAGTTCTGTTCTAGTTCTGTTCTAGTTCTGCTCTAGTTCTGTTCTAGTTCTGTTCTAGTTCTGTTCTAGTTCTGTTCTAGTTCTGTTCTAGTTCTGTTCTAGTTCTGTTCTAGTTCTGTTCTAGTTCTGTTCTAGTTCTGTTCTAGTTCTGTTCTAGTTCTGTTCTAGTTCTGTTCTAGTTCTGTTCTAGTTCTGTTCTAGTTCTGTTCTAGTTCTGTTCTAGTTCTGTTCTAGTTCTGTTCTAGTTCTGTTCTAGTTCTGTTCTAGTTCTGTTCTAGTTCTGTTCTAGTTCTGTTCTAGTTCTGTTCTAGTTCTGTTCTAGTTCTGTTCTACTTCTGTTCTATTCTGTTCTAGTTCTGTTCTAGTTCTGTTCTAGTTCTGTTCTAGTTCTGTTCTAGTTCTGTTCTAGTTCTGTTCTAGTTCTGTTTTAGTTCTGTTCTAGTTCTGTTCTAGTTCTGTTCTGTTCTAGTTCTGTTCTAGTTCTGTTCTAGTTCTGTTCTAGTTCTGTTCTAGTTCTGTTCTAGTTCTGTTCTAGTTCTGTTCTAGTTCTGTTCTAGTTCTGTTCTAGTTCTGTTCTAGTTCTGTTCTAGTTCTGTTCTAGTTCTGTTCTAGTTCTGTTCTAGTTCTGTTCTAGTTCTGTTCTAGTTCTGTTCTAGTTCTGTTCTAGTTCTGTTCTAGTTAGTTCTGTTCTAGTTCTGTTCTAGTTCTGTTCTAGTTCTGTTCTAGTTCTGTTCTAGTTCTGTTCTAGTTCTGTTCTGGTTCTGTTCTAGTTCTGTTCTAGCTCAGTTCTAATTCAGTTCCAGTTCAGTTCTAGTTCAGTTCTAGTTCAAGTTCAAGTTCTAGTTCAGTTCAAGTTCAGTTCAAGTTCAGTTCTAGTTCAGTTCTAGTTTTATACTAGAACCTTAATCTCATGTTAATCTCAAGTCGAAATGCTAGAACTTTAGCTACATTAGCTTTTTCAGCGCTTTTAAAATATTTCAACTAAGTATGTTAATAATGACACTTTGTATCGACAGCATTTTAATTTTAACTACTTTTTTTCGTAAATGTTGTCATCCATGTTGCTGCTCGCTGTTGTTTACTACGGGATAAACAGTCACAACCCGGTAGTTTTATCACTAAGAATCTATATAAATAAACTTTTGGGTACTACTGCGTTCTTCGAACGAAGACGACTGTCATACCGTTCTGCTGGAATATCTTAACAATGACTCGGTTGTAGTGTCTATATATGTGTATATCCTTGCAAACATCTGTGTATGTATTGTTTTTCCAGACTATATGTAACTCTAATGGATTTTTCTCATATATTGTCAATAAAAGAAACAAAACAATAACGAGACCAAGTTTTATTTTGTATAACAAAATAACTTTTTATCGAGTTTAACTATTAATGGTAGAACATTTTAATGTTACTTTCACTAAAAATCTTTATTGTGCATCCCATATGTATGAATGTAACTACATATGTGTGTGTGTGTGTGCATTGCCAATTTACATTGTATAACAAACATGTTGTGATTGAAATTAATTGCTATTGTTGTAGTTTTATAGGAAAATTTTATCAAAAAAAAAGAACATGTTAATTTTAATTATATTGTTAGTGTGATGAAAATTTTACAATGTATTTTTTTCTGCTTTCCTTTCTTTTATAGGCATGACATCATCTAGTTCACAGTGGAATAATGAACGTTCTTCTAGTCCTGAAACTTTACCAAGTGACATGTATGTATTACAATTTGTTCTAAAAGAAAACAATTTTAACTTGCAGTAGAGTATTATATATGTATATTATTACTTGGTTTTACTTTTCCAACTATTACTGGGTTTTATGTAATTTCTATACATTTACATATTTACATATTTAGTCCTACTTTTTATCCTTTTTTCAAACTCTATTTTATTTAAAAAAAATACTATAAACTATATGTTGTAAGACAAAAACAACAATTTACATTGAAAACACTTTTTTTATATACTTAAGCATTTGTGCAACCAACAACCTGCTTTTTTCTTCGTTGAAGTACTACATGCAACATGATGCATTCAGACGCGCGCTTGTTGTACTTGTTCATGTTGTAATTGTGCTTGAACAGTTTAACAAAGCAAAGCAAAAACTTATACATAAAAGCTTTTAATCATTCTAATTTTAATTCTTTTGGCTGACAGTGTGTATTACTTGTTTCTTAAATTTTTTTCTTCATTTATATTGCTTTTAAACCCATTATATGCATTTTATTACAATTTATTACATTTTCTCATATTAAATGTTTTTTTGAACGCATTTGCATTTGAACATAATTATCAATTATAAAATGTTTTATAGGGATCAGGTAATTATTGGGGCTTTATTTGTTTTTACATTTTTATTGGTTTTATGGGGTTTTAAAAGTATTAAGAACTTAGAAGGACTGTATACAAAAAGCTGTGTTTAAGAATAAATCTCTATCTACTTTATCTATATTCCCGACTATGGCCTCGTCTATAGTCCAGGATATAGCATTGTCTATAGTCCAAACTATAGCCTTGTCTATAGTCCAGACTATAGCCTTGTCTATAGTCCAGACTATAGCCTTGTCTATAGTCCAGACTACAGCCTTGTCTATAGTCCAGACTATAGCCTTGTCTATAGTCCAGACTATAGCCTTGTCTATAGTCCAGACTATAGCCTTGTCTATAGTCCAGACTATAGCCTTGTCTATAGTCCAGACTATAGCCTTGTCTATAGTCCAGACTATAGCCTTGTCTATAGTCCAGACTATAGCCTTGTCTATAGTCCAGACTAGCCTTGTCTATAGTCCAGACTATAGCCTTGTCTATAGTCCAGACTATAGCCTTGTCTATAGTCCAGACTATAGCCTTGTCTATATCCCAGACTATAGCCTAGTCTATAGTACAGACTATAGCCTTGTCTATAGTCCAGACTATAGCCTTGTCTATAGTCCAGACTATAGCCTTGTCTATAGTCCAGACTATAGTCTTGTCTATAGTCCAGACTATAGCCTTGTCTATAGTCCAAACTATAGCCTTGTCTATAGTCCAGACTATAGCCTTGTCTATAGGCCAGGCTATAGCTTGGTCTATAGTCCACACTATAGCTTGGTTTATAGTCCAGAATATAGCTTAGTCTATATTCTAAACTATAATTTAGTCTATAGTCCAGTCTATAGCTTAGTCTATTGTCAAGAATATAGCTTAGTCTATAGTCCAGACTATAGCTTAGTCTATACTCTAGACTATAGCTTAGTCTATAGTCCAGACTATAGCTTAGGCTATAGTCCAGGCTATAGCTTAGTCTATAGTCCAGCCTATAGCTTAGTCTATAGTCCAGACTATAGCTCAGTCTATAGTCCAGACTATAGCTTAGTCTATAGTCCTGACTATAGCTTGGTCTATAGTCCAGACTATAGCAGACCAGACTATAGCTTGGTCTATACTCCAGACTATAGATTGGTCTATAGTCCAGACCATAGCTTGGTCTATAGTCCAGACTATAGCTTAGTCTATAGTCCAGACTACAGCTTAGTCTATTGTCAAGAATATAGCATAGTCTATAGTCCAGACTATAGCTTAGTCTATAGTCTAGACTATAGCTTAGTGTATAGTCCAGACTATGGCTTAGTCTATAATCCAGACTATAGCTTAGTCTATAGTCTAGACTATAGCTTAGTGTATATTCCAGACTATAGCTTAGTCTACAGTCCGGACTGTAGCTTAGTCTATAGTCCAGACTATAGCTTAGTCTATAGTCCAGACTATAGCATAGTCTATAGTCCAGACTATAGCTTAGTCTATAGTCCAGACTATAGCTTAGTCTATAGTCCAGACTATAGTCCAGACTATTGCTTAATCTATAGTCCAGACTATAGCTTAGTCTATAGTCCAGACTATAGCTTAGTCTATAGTCCAGACTATAGCTTAGTCTATAGTCCAGACTATAGCTTAGTCTATAGTCCAGACAATAGCTTAGTCTATAGTCCAGACTATAGCTTAGTCTATAGTCCAGACAATAGCTTAGTCTATAGTCCAGACTATAGCTTAGTCTATAGTCCAGACTATAGCTTAGTCTATAGTCCAGACTATAGCTTAGTCTATAGTCCAGACTATAGCTTAGTCAATTGTCTAGACTACAGCTTAGTCTATAGTCCAGGCTTTAGCTTAGTCAATAGTCTAGACTACAGCTTAGTCTATAGTCCAGGCTATAGCATAGTCTATAGTCCAGACTATAGCTTAGTTCAGACTATAGCGTAGTCTATAGTCCAGACAATAGCTTAGTCTATAGTCCAGACTATAGCTTAGTCTATAGTCCAGGCTATAGCTTAGTCTATAATCCAGACTATAGCTTAGTCTAATGTCCAGACTTTAGTTTAGTCTATAGTCTAGACTATAGCTTAGCCTATGGTCCAGACTATAGCTTAGTCTATAGTCCAGACTACAGCTTAGTCTATAGGCAAGACTATAGCTTAGTCTATAGGCCAGACTATAGCTTAGTCTGTAGTCCAGACTATAGCTTAGTCTATAGACCAGTTTATAGCATTTTCTTTAGTCCAGTCTACAGCTTTGTCTATAGTCTAGTCAATTGCTTTGTATATAGTCCAGATTATAACTTAGTATAGTCCAGACTATAGCTTAGTCTATAGTCCAGACTATAGCTTAGTCTATAGTCCAGACTATAGCTTAGTCTATAGTCCAGACTATAGCTTAGTCTATAGTCCAGACTATAGCTTAGTCTATAGTCCAGATTATAACTTAGTCTTTAGTCCAGATTATAACTTAGTCTATAGTTCAGACTATTGCTTAGTCTATAGTCCTGACAGTTTATAGTTAAGACTATAGTCCATTCGAAAGCTTGGTTAATAGTGCAGACTATAGGGTGCAAATTTGCTCATTTATTGTCTATATAAATTTTCTTTAAATCTAAGTTTTTCCACAAGTTTAGTGGTTTTCATTTCTTTATCTGCCATTTTTTTTTTGCTCTCTTTTAACTTTCGCTCTTAATCAAGCCATTACTTTTCATTGCATATTTTTGCGGATAATTGCCACTACAAGTTTTTTTTTTTCTCAACTAACTTTTTATATAAAACTTAATTTAAGGCAATTATTATCTTCTGTTTTTTGCATTTAAATATTACCATTTCTCCTTCTACGAAATAACTATGATTTTTATTATTTTTGATTTTTTGTTTTTTATACTATTTTGTATTTTTTTTTTTTTCTTTTTCATTTCTTATATACTTTTAGTCCTTTATTAAAACATCAACAACAATTACAACAAAGAAAACAAAAACTTACTGGAACTTTAATTATGAACATGTCCTTAAGGTCAGAACACAGGCAACTTTGTTCTGTACGCTTCGGTTCGGTTCAGTTTTACTAACTGTTTCTGTTTTATTTTATTTGAATTATTCTTTTTCTTGCGTTACTTGTTATTTTAATTTAATTTTTTTTATATAATTTTCTTTAGAGCTTTTGTTAACAAATTACTTTTTTTTAAGAAAATTATCTTTTTCTTAACTTTTATGCTGGAATTTAGTGGCTTGAGTTGCGTTTTGTTCTTTTGAAGTTTTCTGGCTTTTTTTTGGTGAATGCAAGTTTAGAATGAAAGGAGAAGCCTCCATTTTATTTTGCTTTGTTTTATGGTTTTAGGCATTTAAATTTAAGTTGTTTTTTTTTTAGCTTTTGAAATCTAATAATTAAATATTTTATGAAATTAATTAAAAGTGTAATCGGATATAGTCTACACCAAGTCAATAATATAACGGGTGGGGATCCATACCACTTGGTTCCGTACATAGTTACAAGAAACCTTCAGTAAATTTATTTTAATTTTTCTCCCCTCTGCAATTTCTTAATAATTAAAAAAATTCTAATTTATGGAGAAAACTTTTTTGCTCAACGAAAATAAGAAAATAAGACAATTATGAAAATAGAAATTCTCCTTAACATGTTTGTTGGCCATGTTAGTGGTTGCTGCAACATTCCTGTTGCACATTTTGCATACCAACCCAGCCAGTCATGCACAAATAAACAATGTAGATACAATAAACTTCTTTGTTTTTTTTTTTTTTTTTTTTGCCTCATTTTCCGGTTTCATGCAACTTTTGCAATGTGCGTAAATTGTGTGTGCTGCGCCACCGTAAAAAAAAAAACAACCACTAACACAAACTAAAACTAAACAAAGGAATATGGCGTCACTTGGAGACATGACTAAGTCAAAATTCAGTGATAGTTAACTTGTCATAACTTCTGTGTATCCTGGCCACAGGATTTGTTATTTAGTTTTGTTGTGTATTTTTTTCTCATTCTTGTTTGCTTGTTCCGTTTAGCTTCAAGTTAAATTTTTGGTTGACTGCTTTGGTTTTTATGGCAGAGGGTTTTAATGGCCTTCATTTTGGTTTTTCAAATGTAAAACTAAATAAAGTTTAGGGAGTTAGAAAGTACACTGGAAGAAAGTTTAAAGGATGTGAAACAACGTCTAGAAACCAGACTATAGATTTATTTTTAATCCAGACTATAGATCAGTCCAAACTATAAATCAGTCTATATTCCCGACTATAAATCCGTCTATAGTCTAGACTATAGATCAGTCTATAGTCCAGACTATAGATAAGTCTAAAGTCCAAACTATAGATCAGTCGATAGTCCAGACAATTGATCAGTCTTTAGTCCAGGCTATAGATCAGTCTATAGTCCAGGCTATCGATTAGTCGATAGTCCATACTATA